TTCATGACCTAAGAAAGCTATACTGAATGTGTAGGGGTGAGGCTATAGAAAGCATCACTGGGAGAAGCTCTTGTAAGATCCCTGCACTATGTGGTCAGCTGATTTCTTCCTCTGTGGTCTTTGGCCCTGGCTTGTTTTGCGTGATAAAAAGGAAGAGTCATCAGAGAGCTACATATATAGCAAACACAACCTCAGAGATGTCTGGGAGCTTTCTGGGTGGGAGAGAAAGACTTGGCAAAAGCACCCGAAGGATTCAGGGTTAACACTTCGCCTTTTGAAGAGACTTTGGTTCCTGGAGGGGTTCCAATCTGAATTTGGGGAATTCATCAGCAGGAAAACAAATAGCTGGCAGGCTCTGTATTTACTCTGCCCTTCTCAAGGTTGCAACATAAATCTCCCAACTTGGAAAGCATTAAGGCCGAGGAGACATTTTGTGAGTTCAGGGCCTCTCCTCCGGTCTGCATGAACCACGTCTACTCTCATTTCGGGAAAACACCGGCCCCAACCCTCAAGGTGCTGCTGGAGACAGTACTGACACTGTTTGACTTGCTCAGGGCAGACTGGGGAAATGAGAGCTGGAAAACTTGAGTTCTCCAAGTGAGAGCTGTTATTCTGCTGTGGAAAAAACCCACTTATGCCAGGGGAATGAAAGCCCTGAGAAGTTCTCACTGGGTGAGTTTATAGCAGGCTTGCCATGAAAAATACCCAATGGTTATTTGATGGTGTCCGAATTGTAATATGGCTAGATCAATTCTGGAAGCAACCTTCTTCAACACCATTGGAATATGTATGTTTCCACTTCCAATGTTTCCAATTAGCAGAGAAGCTAATGCTGGAAACCACTACATATAATCCAGCAAAACTGTCAATGTAACATTATAAAAATTGAATATGTGTCAGAAGTGGATTTAGATTCTTTAGGTTAATATTATTTTTGCAATTAAGTGAGAAACTGACACTAATTTACTTGCACTGTGTGATTAGGTTAATTTACTCCAGAGTAATCTTGCATTTTAAAAATTAAAAATGGTAGCTGTATCTTCTCATTATCAATCAAGCAGTGGCACTAAAGAAACATCGTAATATTGTACTCACTTGTGCTCTTATAGGCAGTCAAATAAACACTAAAAATGACAAATTACCATGCTCTGATAGATCTTCATGTTTAAGTACCTACAAATAACTGTCCATTTGTGAATGGTTAAGCTTAATCAGTTATTTTTCCTATAAGCAAGATAATGTCTTTCATAAATAGAAATCTACAAATAATACTTAGAGCAGTTTAACTCTTAGATATAATAATGCCACAGTATGTAGAAAACAAAATAGGCTTACAAATATAAAGCTAAATAGTTTATCCTTTCTTTGACCTTCACAAATGTAAGTGTGCTCTATCTATGGCTCTATAAATTGTTTAAATCCTTTAATGATGCAAATGTGCTGATAATGTTCTCACTTGCTGGAACTATGGTTCTGTTAATATTTTGAAAATTACTTTAATTAACCTTATTTCATTTTGTAGTAGTTATAGAACACTTTTATATTTTTTAACTGTGCATTAATTTGTTTCATCATTAACCTTGGGGTTTACCCTTGGTCATTATGGTAATTCACAATTCGGGTTGTGTCAAATGCTAGTGCATTCAAACAATACATATTGTGGGAACCATCAATAGCTTTGGTAGTCAGGATTCTTTAGTTTGCAGAAGACGGGAAAAAAGTTTAGCAGGTAGAGGGGAAGGGTTCTGCAGAAGATTCTCAGGGCTGGCTTTTATTTGGCCAAGGATTCTGGTGGAGGAAGAGGGATGCTGAATGGCTTCTGTCAGGCATTCACCTGACCCTCCCTAACTCCTTCACCTGAAATCAGAGAGGTAGGAATCTGTGATAGATGAAGAAGGGGAGGGAATGACTAGCCCCAAACTGTGCACTATAATAGTTAATCATATTGATAGTGTGCGTTCTCTCTCTGTCTCTGTGTCTCTCTGTCTCTCTCTCTGTCTCTCTGTGTCTCTTTCTCTGTCTCTCTCTCTGTGCCTCTCTGTCTCTCTCTCTGTCTCTTCTCTCTCTGTGTCTCTCCCGCCCTCCCTCTGTCCCTCCCCCCCACCCCTTTCTCCAGGCTGCCAAAGACTGCTACCAAATGCAACTGAGTCCTGCGTTTCTCATCTGCATCCCCAATTTGTCACTCGAAAGTCCTGGTCTCAATCCCCCCTGGTTTTTCTAGAAACACCACTAGTATCCAATTCAGCAGGTCCCTATAATGGACAGTGCGGGGGCGCCGGGCGTGGGCAACGCTCGCGAGTGAGGCTCACAGCCGGGCAGGCGCCCCTTCCCTCTGAAAGCGCCGCGGCGGGCCAGCAGGGGGCGAGGTTCGTTTCCGCACAGGAGACCTAGCCAGAATCACAAACGCTGCGAATGACACACTCCCTTCCTGATCTGGCCTGGAGTCTGTGCCATTAAAATTCTCACTTCTGCTTTTTCCCTATATTAACATTATCTTCCATCTGAGCACATCACATTCAGTGACAGAAAATGAGATCCCATGAACCACTGGAGGTGGACTTAAAATAGCTTAAGTACGGTATTTCATCCGTGTTAGCGACATCACTCCAAGAAGCAGTGCTTTCAAAGAGCAGAATTCCTCAGCTGGGAAATGGGGCTATCTTGTGAATATTGCCTGAGATAAGGAGTGTAACTTGTCGGTGTTACCACGTGGTCTCGAGTACTTGTTGTAGAAACCAATGGGACTGGGGGTATTGTTGGGGGAGGAGGAAACAAACTTCCTGTGTCCCATTTGCCCAACTCTGGAGGCCAGCACGGCCAGCACAGCTCCCTTAGATGCCAAGAGTGGTGGAACTTTCTTCTGTCGCTTGCTAAATTTCTTTCATTCTAATCAATATGGGGCTTTGGAAGGAAAAAAAAAAAAAAACATCCCCCAAACCCACAAGCAACCATTTTATTTGATTCATAAAAATTCAGTTCCTGAGAAGGCAGTTCCAGCAAAAGAGTTTTGATCCTTCTTGCTCAGGCTGATATGGTCACTTCTAGAAAGCAGTGATTTTACTGTTTTCTTCTGAAAATAAAAAAAAAAAAAAAAAAAAAATTCTGAAAAGCAGTGAAAAGAGAAATAATCTAATCTGAAGTATAACTTTTCACTGACGGATGTTGATACTCTAAGTCTAAATCTGGCTTACAGGAGTAAAGAGAACTGCTTTCTCATCACGGATGCGACCCTGCAGGGTGAGATGTGGTTCAGGTATAATGGTGTGCCCAGGGCCTGGCACATGAGTATTGGCACATTAAGGGCTTCGATTAATATTTGCTGATTGAATTAATAGATGAATGAGGACAGTTACACAAGTAATAACAATGAAAGAAATATTTGGCCTGAAACATCACTACTTTTTTTTGAGGTGGGGAGGCGGTGGAATCCTTCATTTTAGTTTTTGGATTTCCTGAATGGCTTCTTCAATCATAAAATTAAAAATTTGCTAACAACACACACACACACACACACACACACACGCTCACACATAGGCTAACACACTCACACGCATGCTAACATTCTACAGGAAGGTAAAATAAAGAGAAAGCCCAATTGTGTCTTTTTAGGGCATTGTCCTTTAAAATAACATTTCAAGCCCAGCTAGTTAAGCTTAGTGGTGATAAGATATTGAAAGCAATAAATAAATCCATATCCGGAGCTCAGAAGGTTAACAGTTTTTTCAAGAAATTATTGTTCAAATCCAAGGGTAAAATGGCGCCTGAAACTACAAAATGTGGTCCTGTAGTGCCCTCTGGTGTCTTTTGCATGGAATTGTCAAAGTCTCTCATTGAGCCCAGCTCTAGTCATTAGCATCATCTTGATTTATTTATGAGTCCAGGACTCTGGGGCTCTGGCTTATCTGGAGAGGGAGTGGGGAGCGCAAGAAGCTGAGATTTCCATTTTTTTTTTTTTTTTTTTAAGACCTTTTTCAAATGGGTTACCAGCACAAAGTCAAAATAATTTGTATATTAACCCTGGTATAAGATTTAAAAATTGAAACCAATCGTTACCTTAAAAAGAAGCCTTTTACCTCCAAAAAGGCTTTTTTAATTGGCTTTTTTCCATAAGGCATATTATTATGCAGTTTCTTTTGTCCATTAAGATATTCTTTGCAATTCAGTTACAGAACAGTCTTTAAATTCAGAAATTATCACATTTAATAATTGAATCATTCTTTAATTTTTTTGATACCCATTCAGTTAAATAAAAGACATGCAGAGCTAGTCTATGAGATAGAATAAAGATTATGAATAAAATTAAAATATTCCAAAAGAGAGTATTTTTATGTACAAAAAGTGTTGCTGAAATTTATTTCATAAGGATGTTTATATTTTGAGGAAAGGCAGTCAAATTATACATATTTGGCAAGTGAAAATAGTGAAAGGCAATCACTGAGGATTTTAGATTGTTAGTATTTATTGATGAATCTGGCTTAACTCCAAATACTGCAGCCAAAATGGTAAAATGTTGTGTATGAAAAAAGAAGGGTCTTCTTTCACCGCCTCCATGAAGATGAAAGTCAATTTAATTCAATTTGTAGGTATTTAATGGGTGGCTCCAAGAACCACAGACTGGGCTTAGGCCTGGCCTGGGTGGAATCCCTGACCCTCAGGAGCTCCAGGCCCGGGATGGGGGACATGCTCGCAACACCTGCTATTTGCAGTCCAGGGGATGCAGGCTGTGTTGGAAAGAGAGCATGCAAGAAGGATCCTGTGAGGTTGGAGGAATCAGGGGAGGCCTCCCTGGAGGACATGACTTTGGAAGATAGGAGTCAGCCAGGTGAGCAAGAGGGGCGGGGCATCACAGACACAGGTGAGGCCAGTAGAGCGCTGCTTTGGAGCAGGGATGTGGAGGGGAGGAGAGGTCAACCTAGAGAGGTCCTCAGCATGGTATGCTAAGCTGAGCAGTTTTATAACAAAAGTCTCGAGTATTCTTCAGGATTTAGGCCAGAGAGAGACACGTGCAGCCCAATAGCCCACAGAGCATGGGCTGGAGGGAGGCTAGCTGAGGTTGACCACAGATTCTCAGTGGAAGGACAGTGCATGTCTCAAATTCTCCTAGCTTTGTGACAATAATCACCAACATTTATGGATACCTTTGCAGGCAGGACCGTAGAGCAGAGAAGACACTGGAGCTTTGGTGCTTGGAAAGACCTCCCTGAAATCCTGGCTTGGCCACTGCCAACCTTAGGTGGGTTTCCTGACCTCTTGAAGCCTGTGTTTTCCCTGGTGAAATGGGCATGACAATATCACCTTCCAGGATTGGAGAAGGTGTATAGGATGTGATTGGTAGAGGGGCTGGCACATTGCAGGTACCCTGTAAATGATACTTGACTTTTATTAAAGGGAAAATGATTCATATCATAAAAGCTCCAGACCAAGCCAGGCCCCTGCATATAATCTCATGGCAATGCAAAACCATCTTATAGTGTCTGGTTATGTATATTTTTATATGATTAATGTCTGTTCCTCCTTCTAGCCTGTCAGCTCCACAAGGGCAGGACTGTGACCCGCTGATAGCCATGTGAACCTTTCACCATGGTTCATGTGCATGGAAGGTGCTAGAAAATAGCCATCAAATGAAGGACAAGAAGAATGGCTGGGGACAGCTCTGGCGACATCTTCTTGCTTTAGTGACGACAAAACTGAAAAATGGTAAGGGAGCCCTCCATTCAGTATTTCCCATAACACTGTGCTTCTGGGGCTGAAAACTTGTTCTGAAATGTACAGTTGAATTAGGGGCATTAGTGTCCTCATTCTAGTCAGGTGGGCAGACCGAGTAGTTGTTGAGAGAACTGGCTTCAGAGTCAGAAAGACCTGGATTAGAGTTCCAGCTTCATCACCAGCTCCTGCAAAATAGGGATGAGATGCTCTGTTGGCAGAGTCCTTCTGAGGACAAAACAAGACAACCCACAGTTATATACAGTTGTATGTAACTAATTAGTTAATACTATGTGCTGTTTTCAGGTTTTAGCATTGTTTGAATATATATGTGCATGTATGTGTTTATGTACTTTTTGGAAGTAAATTAATTCATTCCTCTTTATATATAAATATAAAAATATTCATTTTTATACAAATATGAAAACAATGAGAGACTGGAGTAGTTGACTTCATTCCTAGGCTAACCTTGTGTTGGGTGCTGGGACTAAAATCCTGGTGTCTGGAGGGTTTTAGGAGTAATGTTTGGTGCCCTTTAAATCTTTGTAGGAAGTCTTTCTGTGGCTGGTTGCTTCCTCCCCCCACTCATCAGCATGGGTTGAGGGCTCACTGCCTGCAGGCAGAGGACTGCCTCAGGGCTGTAGATACAGAGAGAGAGGTCTGTGCTCCGAAGGAGTTGGGCACAGGCAGAGCTTCTCAGAGGGGTGTGGGTATCAACCCTATGATGTTTTGGAAATTAGGACTGATGCTTTGGTCATCACAAAATGGAGTAGGCAATGAAGCTATTCTGTGGACAGAGGCCAGTGTTGCTGGAGATCCCAGAATCCCGAAGAGTAACGCCTGGAGTCACCTCACCGTGCTCCTCTCCACATTGTACTCTCATAACCAAAGGCGGTCCTGCCTCCTGCATGGCTGTCCGACGTCCCACCAGACAGTCACTGATAAGCGAGGACCTGGTTATAATGCTCTAAGCCTAGCTCCTGAGTCCGTTTTATAATTAAACAGAAAGGCACACATGTGTGTGTTTACATGTTTTATGTTAATATAAAATATGAACATATTAGTTAGTGTTTGGCTCTCAATTTTCCACCATGCAAATCAAGAGACGATTGTACTTCATTGTGTTCAGGGTTTAAGAGTTTTTCTTCTGTATGGGATGAATGTCACCCGTGGTCTCTGAGTCACCTGCTCTGTGGGACCACACTGTGGGGCTCCTGCAGCACCTGTGGAGTTCCACGCAGGCGGCAAGTGCTGACCATGGCTGTGTGCCTTCTGATAGTCAGCTGGAACATTTACTTGTTGAAATATGTATATATTTTTTATCACAAATTACTTTTGTTTTTCCTTTCAGTTACAGATAGGGCATTGTATTGATTTTGTTGTCATTGTTGAAATTATGTGCTTAGGTAGATTATCTCTGGATTTCATTTCTGGGAAGAAAAAAGAGGCATTACAGAATATCTGCTATAAGAAGGGGCTGGAGGGTAAGGCATAGGGACCGCTGATCTAGGGGAGAGAGACAGGAAAACAGATGGAGGTATGGGTTGGAGGGCCCCTGGCTGCATGGGACTGGAAGCAGAGACCCTGAATACAAATAGACTAAAGCACATTTAATTTATTATTTTATTTTATTTTTTGAGACAGGATCTTGTGGTGTCACTCAGGCTGGCGTAAAGTGGCATGATCTCAGTTCACTGTAACCTCCTGGGCTCAAAAGATTCTCCTGTCTCAGCCTCCCTAGTAGCTGGGTACTATACGCACATGCTGTGATGCCTGGCTAATTTTTCCTTTTTTTTTTGGTTTGATCATGTTGCCCAGGCTAGTCTCGAACTCCTGAACTCAAGTGATCCTCCCTCCTTGGCTCCACAAAGTGCTGGAAGTATAGACATGAGTCTCCGTGCCCAGCCAAAAGCACATTTAATTTAAAATGCTATAAGCATACATATTAACTGGAAAGAAAAATATCATAAGCATTCAAATCAAAATATCTTCCAGCTGTCATCAGGAAGTGGAAAGAGATGTACATTCTGAACTTGACAGTTTGTTAACTCTGCCCTGACTCTGAACCAGAGTTTCCACACCTGTAAAATCACTGGGTTGGGTTCAATCTTCTCCGGTGTCTTTCTTTGCTAAAATTTTATGAGTCATTGGCAGTAGCTGTCTGACAGTAAATCTGTCTCATTTTTCTTATCATGAACTTCATAAAGAGGCATGGATTTTTAAAATGTTATTTTCCAGTAAAAAATTTAAAGACTACTTTTAAAATAAAAATTGGGCGGAAGGTGAAACAAAACCCTATAATTCTCTGAATCTGCTTGTACTTAGCATACAACTGCTAGGTAAAGTTTAATGAAGAAGCTTGCGTTTCAATCCGTCTCGACCAATTCTTAACTGCACGACCTTGCTTAACTCTTGTCTCAAAACGGGAAAAATAATTATCCTACCTCTAGTACTATAAGATTTAAATGAGATAATGCTTCCAAAACACTTAGAATCTACCATGCCATTGAGCTGTGCAAGATGAAAATGTTTTAGAGATTGAATGCATAACAATGGGAATATACTTAGCACTAGTCAACTGTACACCTAAAAACAGTTAAGATGGTACATTTTATGTCATGTATTTTTTACTAAAATTAAAAAAAAAATGGATAGGCTAGGTATGCTGGCTCATGCCTGAAATCCTAGCACTTTGGGAAGCCAAGGCAGAATGATTGCTTGAGACCAAGAGTTGAAGACCAGCCTGGGCAACATAGTGAGACCTCATCTCTACAAAAAATGTAAAAAATATCTGGTCATGGTGGTGCATGCCGTGGTCCCACCCACTCAGGAGGCTAAGTCAGGAGGATTGCAGAAGCCTGGGAGGTCAAGGCTGCAGTGAACTGTGATCATGCCACTGCACTCCAGTCTGGGTGACAGAGTGAGACCCTGTCTCAAAAATAAATGAATAAAATAAAAATAAAAATTGGATTGCAAAATACATATACAAATATACATACTAAGTGCTTAACAAAGATACTGCACCACTTATTATACTACTTATTTTTGTTTTCAGTTGGGCTCTCATGCTGCCCAAACATTCCACAGACAAGGACCAAGTACTGGGCTGGCTGGGGAAGTCCGGAAAAGAACATCATTGCTGACATCAAGAAGGCCCTAGAAGGGGAGACAGGGGAGTAAACACCTGCCATGGAAGGTGCCAAGTGCTATGGTAGACATGTGACCGTCAGGGTATGAGGATTCACCTTCAGCTCCCTGTGTGCTTGTTGTGGGGAGAGCTCAAGGTAAGGGTAAAGACAGAGGGGTGGGGAACTGCCAGAGGAGCCTTCCTGCAGTGCCTGGAGCCTGAGCTGAGGCATGGAGGTCACAGTGGAGCTGGCCAGGCTGAGACGGCACACTCTGGACTCCTTGACTTGATGACTGGAAGTCGCTGGCTCTGCATCTGAACTGAGATACTTATGATAAGGTGAAACAAAAATCCCCTAAACAGGGAATCAGATGGTACCAGGAGTGAAAAGACCCAGCCCTGCTTGCCAGGAAACACCAAACCCCAATCACTGGAAAACACCACCATTCCTTCCCCTAAAGCCAAAGCTTCTCCATGTGAAGGGGAGGATGGTAAGGCCCCATGTGTGTGTTACACATGGTCCAGGCAGAGAGTGCTGTGTCCATGGCTAACCCATCCCCTGGGCCTTGCCTTCACAGTGTCTGGGATCTGTTTAGGGGGCAGCCCCATTTACTTGCAGTTCGCCAGTCACACGCTACAGCACAGATTCATTCCCCTCCACCTGCCTGCCACTCACGCTTATGGGAGATGAGATGGGAAGTAATGGGCCTTCCTCTCGCCTCCCATATGAGCACTTGAAGTTAATCCGTATCTGGGTCTCATGACTCACCACATTATTCTGTGCATATACTTTATTACAGACTCATGGTTCAAATAAAATTAGTGCTATCCCATATTATTGGTTCAAAATTAGAATTACATGAACAAAACAGATAAAGTCTTACCCAGCCTTCTAGGGCTAAACCATGGAAGCAACTGCAACATTTCTTCCTTTTATTTAACCTCTGTAATTTCATTTTAGGTTGTCTTCAAGACTTTAAAATAACAAGACTTATTTCAACCGGATTTTCCTAAAGTTCTTAGGTAGGGTGAGTATCTAATTCAGCACCAAAACTGGGACAGTCATGAGAGTGAAAGGCAGACTATTAATAGTTAAGCCAGGACAATGGCATATGCAGAGCTGCCACAGGCTAACTGTGACAGGTGGTCACCTATTTTTAGGGGCAGGCTGACCCTCTTCAATAGTCATGGATTAGTCTTGCTAAGTAATGCTGCTTTTTCTGATTGCTTTTTTAAAAAAACAAAGCAAAACATTAATTTGGGGGCAATTATCTCAACAAATTTGAGAAATTAAAAGAAGGATGTAAAAGATATATTTACATCCAGACATATGTGATTGCTTGGACTTCTTTTGATGTGAAACTTGTGAAGTATAAGGGGAAATCTGGGCTGGCATTTCTTTACTGTATACTTGTGACCTAGATCAAAATATGAAAATGTACTTGGAGTCAGATTTAAGCAAATGGAAACTTCACCCTTTGGCTTGAAGACAGAATGTACATCAGTAAATCTCAGGCTGTTTTTCCAGGAAATGACCCTTACTTAGAAACATCCAGGTGTTATCCAGAGAGCCTGACCTTGACTCCAAATTGATTCAAGTGAAACTGGCTGTCTAGTATTCCTGCCTTCAGCGCTGCCACCTGCCATCCGTTCCGCATTCTTGGCTAGCCAAGGAATGGTTTTCCATATGAAGCAAAAGATATTCTGCTTTCTGTTTTGCCAGTGATCATGAAACATGTGAACCTGAGGCAAAAAAGTCAAGTGCTGTACCTTTGGTCCTTAAAGCAGCAGTGATTTTTCCAAATGTGAGGGCTGCATCTAAAAGCATGCTACAATCCCCCTACCATGGCACAGGTTTGCGTGAAGACCCACAGTGATAATATACAGGACAAGGACGGATTTTGCCAACTGTAAAACACCATAACAATATGAGTTATTTTTCTTGTTTCAGTGTTTCCTGGATGGAGTTGAAATATTTTGGCAATCACAGATTGAACTGTAGATACCTTGCCCCGTGAATGATGAATTGTGTTTTAACAAGGTGATACTCCACTGAGTTGTAGGTTACATATTTCTCTGTCAGAGCAGCCCACACTGAGCAAGGTAGACAGGGGTCTCGAGTTAGGATGTGTGTGGAGTCCTGGTGAGCTCTAGAGAATAAACAACTGCTAAGAAGGTAGAAAGAGAAGGTGGAAAGGAAAAAAAAAAAGGTGGGAGGGAGTGGTGGGAGAACAAGGGAGGTACAGGGAGGGAAGGCAAAAGAGGAAGAAAAAGAAAAAAGAACGAGAGAAAGAAAGGAAAGGTTCAGCAAGAACTCATGATGGTTTCAACAGCACAATTTGCAATTCATACTAAGGGAGCTGGGGCACCCGCCCATCCACGACCATCCAAGGGAAAAATCTTATTAGAATGTGGCCATCTTTCTCCTCAAAATAACAAGACAGAGAATGGCAGGTGAATTGGAATTGCACTCCCACCTTGCAGTGTGTGGATGAGATTTAATTTCTGTCCACCATGTGTGTGGTGGGCCTTGGGCACCCAAGGCTGGCATCCACACTGAGGTAGATTGAGGACCCCGACAGGAAGATGACTGAGGATTGGGATGGAGCCGAGAGCCTCAGGATGGAGCTGGGAGCCTCCTCCAAGGAGATGCTGATAAAACAAACCTTCATCAGGACATCATCTTTTATCAAGATTGTTCTTCCTCCTGTCTCACAACAAGCCTGTCCGTGTTGTGTATGTGTGTGTGTGCATGTGGAGGGGTGGGTGTGTGCTGCCAAGCAGGTACATGCCTCTGTGTGTGTTTCATGTCTCATCTGGTGTGATTAAGGGAGAAAAGGGGTGGGGGGACTGTTCTTTGTTTATTTTGCAGATAAATCTCATCTTTAATCTCGATGCACAGCAATGTCTCGTGCAAAGGAAAGGAAGCCCCCTACGCCACCCCATGACATCCATATAAATCACAGGTTATATTCCTCTGTGTGAGGGGGCATTGCAGAATGGAGCAACGTTGCAGACTCTCATTGGGTGATGCTTCATTACTTGGTGGAAAATCCCCAGGGCCAAAACGTTATTTAAATGTGCTATGAAAATAAATGTGATTTATATATGTGTCGTCTGCTGAGACGTTCTTCTCTGTTACTGCAGGTGCTGTCGTGCATCAGGATTAGCGCCTCAATTTATCGCCAGTTCAAGCTACACACATGCTCCATGACAGGGTTTTGTCCGCATCCCTGAAAGTTCCAGGAAGGAGACGGTGTTGGCTGAGTGGTGGGCTTTAGATATTCAGCAGTATGATTGACTTTTATGGGCTGAGAATATGTGTGCGTGTGAGCGCGTGCATGCTCGTGCGTGCTCGTGCATGCTGGTGTGGAGCCTGGGCCACTGTTTTGTTTGAAAGACGCAGGGAACAGATACTTTGTACTCATATGCATCAATTTCCAATGGCAGCAGATTGCTGTTTCTGGTTGAAAGAGAAAGAAGAAAGCGAAATCTTCATTTCATCTCAGGACTGGGGCCCACATGTTTAGCTCAAAGTGAGTGGAAATCTCTGAAAAGCAGTTTGGGCTAATGAATGTCAGCAGGCCTTCAATGTAAATGGGATTTGATTAGCAGGAAGGAGTGTGGTTGGGATGTTTCCACTACCAAAGAAAGGTGCAGAAGGCAAGCTTTGTCTTAAGGGGATGAAGAAGGTCCCTCCAGCTGCCCAAGTAGAGCCTTTTCCAGTGGGCTTTCACAGATGCTCCAAAAACATGGGGCTAGCCTTGGCTTCTACCATATGCCATGGGGCGCCAGACCATTGCTCCAGACAAGTAAACTTGAGGTTGGGGGAGGTGGCAGAGCTGTGACCAGACACCCCAAACGGAATACTCCACAAAGCAAAACATGCCACATCAGTCCTCACCGTTGCCTTGCCTCTGTGCCCCTCATTTTAAAGATGACAAAACTGAGGCCCACAGAGGTCAATATCTCACAGTCGAACTCTTCCTCCCTCTTCTGCTTCTGGAACCCTTCCTCAGGCATTCTTTTAACTGGTAGCAACTCGTGGCTTGCCAGTCTTGGCTCTAGCTCCCCTGCTCTTTTTTCTTCAAGATTAAGGGTTCTAAATGATATCTAAAGTAGGACCTCTCTAGAAAAAAGATTTATATAAAATTCCTTTTAGATCGATGTGGGGAAGCAAACAAAGGAGCTTATGGATACACTCTATATTAGGCTGTTATTTGAAATAAACAACAGTAACTCTGTAGCACTAACGGGAAGCCTTAAAAAAACCTTTTTATTTTGAAATAATTTCGAATCCACATAAAAAATTTCAAAAATAGTGCAGAAAGTTCCTGTATATGTTTCATTAGCTTCTTTCAATTTGCTGTGTTTGCTTTATCATTGTCTGGGTATGTGTGCCTGTGTGCATGTGTGTGTTATTTTCTGAATGGTTCGGGAGTACACGGTACACATTCTACCCCTTTATCCCTAAATACATCAGTACACATTTCCTAAATTCATTCACGCAACCACAGTGCAGTTATCAAATCCAAGAAATTAACATTACAATAGTATTATTATTTAACTTACAGACCTTGTTTGAATTTCAGTAAATGTCTTACTGATGTCCTTTCTAGCAAAAAAAAAAAAAAAAAAATTGTTTTCCACTTACTTTGGGATTATGTGAAATTCATGTCTCATGTCTCATTTATGGGGACTTAGGTGAGAGAGTTGAGTATGCTAAAATTTTAGGCTGTTAAACTAAAAACTAAACATTACCTTAAAAATACATATCTGTTATATCTGTAGTATCTTCATCTTGATAATTCTTCTTTGATAATTATAATTCAACTTCCATAATGGGAAAATTCAAAACCTTTTTATCTGTGAACCAAAAAATAAAACCAGATTCTGCGCTCCTTGTGCATTTCAATTCAGTGTAAGTCTCCTCAATATCTGCTAGGTCGGGAGCTGTGCCTTTCTACTTGCCTGCTCACGAGATTTCTGAAAGTCTTGGTAATGGCTTTAGCTCTGAACCCAGACTGAGTAAAACAAAAGTCCAAGGAGTGTTTTGGCAAAGTGTGGTGAGCAAGGGTGATTGGTCTGTAAATGTGTTTCAGCAATGCTCAGTTCCTGGAGAAGTGTGGTGCTGGAGGTGCCCCTCATTATAGCTGCAAGGATGTCATCGGCTCCTGTGATCACATTGTGTGTCCCAGGACCCAGGAAGAGGCAAGTCATGAAATAAGAAGACAACATTGCTGGAGGAGTTGCTGTTTTCCACCGAGGAGGGTTAGTGAAACACCTTTATAATTCTGGTGTTGACAGACAGGACTGAATTGGGTTTTATAGGCTATCAACTGAGTTATATCAGGCTTCTCCTGTGGGTAGCAGTTATGTTTCAGCCAACATGATTTGACCTGTAGTTTATCCAAATCGGTGTAATAATAAGCTAGGTTATAAGGGCGTTTCTTTGCCATATATGCTCAAATATAGTAAAGTTGTTATAAAACTAAGCAAATAAGGGCTTCTGTTTCTCCCACTGGAGCACAGTGAGGGTGTGAGAGTAATCGACTTGTTCCCCTCCAAGACATATCCATCCAGAAGGTCTGTAAAAGCTCTTTATTCCTCGTAGGGAAATGATTTTAGTCTTAGGAAGGAAACACATGGCTTTCTTCTTACAGCTTCAAGCTCTGTCTTGCCAGCTGCATTTATTTCCCTTGGCCTGGCACTAATGAAAGGAGACTTTGATGAGCTGTTTGAGTGGTCACTCCAGAGAGAGGGATGCAGAAAGTCTTGACTTTTTGGAAGGCACGCCTTTTGAGAACATTTCTGCCTTATCTCTAACACACATCCCAGAGAGACATCCTTGGCTTTTGATGACAAGCTCACGGGGCCTGATTTACCTGCCAGAAAGGTTTTCTGTGGGTTGGGCTTCTTGGAAAAGTGATCTTGGGAAGGTAAAGCAGCTCCCACCTTGAGCCAGCTTGTGTATCTCCCAGTCCCTGCTGCGCCTGGTATACTTTAAAGCAAATTCCTGCCTTTTTATTTAAACTTTTTTTTTAAGGTGTTAGCAATCTGTCTTACGTTCTCCCACCCCTGCTGGGATTTATGATCCAGTTCGTATTTTACTACACGATCTTGGCAGGCTCCCCTCGTTGAAATTCAAACCGAAGCAACTCAATGGGGGAACAGACATAAAAATATTAATTTGGTAGATATTAAAAAAAATCACACTAGTTATAAATCAGGGGCTGTCCACTGGTTCCTT